GAGAATCCAAGGAAGATACAGAACAATGAAAATCACAATAATTATGAAACTATTCTAAGTAAAGCAACACTAAAGGAACAAGGGCGAGAGGAAACCAACAAACACTAGGAGGCGGTAGAGGAAAACAAACTATCACCAAAATAATTGAAGGAAAAAACAAACACAAAACCAACATAAAGTCCAAAATGTCCACACCCTGACACTAGTAGTCTTAGGGTTCTTTGTGAATACAGGCCCTGATGTTCACACAGTCAGTAGTGGTACATCTGATGAAATACAAAAGAAATGCAATCAAGTCTGCTTGTTTTCTGCAGTAAATATTTTAAATATATTCTGATTTGGGGGTTTAACACAGATTTTAAAAGGACATCAATTTTTAAATATCTTCTTCCATGACATCAGTAGCTAAAACCTCCAATGTTGGTGTTGCTGTGGCAACTAGACCTGTTGGTTTACAGAGGGAACATTGTATACATGTTCTCCAACCATTTTCTTTCACACAAAGAGACACAAACAGCATAAAGCAACACTTGACCTCTTTCTCTGTCGTCTGATTGGTCGATCACCATCAAGACTTCTGCTTCGTCTGAAACACCAACAGGTTAGTTAGTTAGTTAGTTAGTTAGTGTCTCACCTCTGTGGTCCTCCTTGTTCTTCTCTCAGGTTTGATGGAAACTTTGGGTTGAAAAGGCCTCTGCATTAGGCAGGATTGTAAAAAGATTACATTAGAATAAGTGTCTGGATCACACAGAACTGAAGGAACATTTAACATATCTGGAGCAATGAAATTACACAGTACAGTATTTACATTATAAGATGCAGTGACCTGTCAGGTGAGTCATAATCTCACTCTGCAATAACTGGAAGATCAATCAATCAATTAATCAATCTTTATTTGTCAAATCACCATTTAAGGTGGGCATATAGATACATCGAAATACAGTTTCTCACTCAAAAAATGTTAATAATTAAAACAAAAACAGGATCAAATTAGAGCAAGAGTAGGGTTCAAATCCAGGGGTAGGGGCCAGAGGGATCAGAGGGGAAAGGTGGTGGACAGAGTTCAGCTTCCTGACAGCCTGGTGGATATCAGGAGTCCTGAGAAGTGGGCTTGGAGGCTCCTGGACTTTCTCTCTGAAGGCAGGAGGATGATGTGGGGGTTTGAGGTGTCACCAGCAATGCTGAAAGCTCTGTGGGTGAGGTGGATGTAAAACACGTCTGTGAGACAAAGCAGAGTGGCGTTGATGATCTTGCAGACTGTGTTCACTGTACGTTGCACTCTTTCTCTTTAAAGCACTTTGAACAACCTGGTTGTCTGCCTATGCACCATGTCCTGTATTCCCTTTAAGTTCCTTTAATTATTTTAGATTTTATTTACGTCTACTACGCTCTACGCTTCTATGACACTCTTGATGGTGCCTCGGTAGAAGGAGCATATGATGAAGGGGGTGGGGAATCTCTTCAGTTTGCGGGGGAAGTAGAGACATGTTTGAGCCTTCTTGACCAGTGATGTGGTCGTGTTGGTCCAAGAGAGGTCCTCACACGGAGGAAACGATTGTTGTCCTTGTACCACTGGGTGAGTGGGCTCACCTTGCACCTGTGGCTCAGTGGGTAGAGTTGTTGCCTTGCAATCAGAAGGTTGTTGGATCAATTCCAGCTTTCCCTTGTTGCATGTTGACATGCCCCTGGACAAGGCACTAAACCCCAAGTTGCATACTGATCAGTGTATGAATGTGTGTGTTAGTGAGTGCAATTAGGTGAATGTGCTGTGAGTGGTTAGTATGACTGGTTCAGTGCATTTACCATTTAGTTGGACTCATCATTGTTGGTAATGAAGCCCACCACAGCCATGTCATCCGCAAACTTGCTGATGTAATTATTGCTGTACAGTGCCACGCAGTCGTGGGTCAGCAGTGTGAAGAGCAGCAGCATTAACACACACGTCTGCGGAGCCCCTGTATTCGGTGTGATGGTTTTTGGAGGCGTTTCTGCTGTTCCAGTTTTTGTATGAGGTGTTGTGGAGTGATTGTGTTGAATGCTGAACTAAAGTTCAGGAACAGCACTTGCATAGGTGAGTTCTTGGGGTCCAGGTGGGTGAGGGCTGGATGTAGAGCAGCATAAATGGATGCAGAGAAAGATGGATTCAATGTTCTGCATAACCAGCCATTCAAAGCACTTTATGATGATGACAGTAATCATTGTGCGTGGATTGGTCGGGCTTCTTTGGAACAGGTATAATTGTGGCAGCTTTGAAACATGTTGGGACAATCGCTTGCCTCAGACATATGTTGAAGATGTCCATGAGGACATCCTTGAGCTTCTCGGCACAGTCCTTCAAAACACAACCAGGTATGTTATCCAGTCCAGCTGCCTTACATGGGTTGATCCTGAAGAAGGATGTGCTGGAGACAAAAGGTTTGACTTGAGAGACATGAAATACAGGGTGGATGCATAGACTGGAAGGCAGGCGTAGGCGAAGAGCCGATGGACCGATGGCAGAGTCAATGGTGTAGGGGCCAATGAAACGAGGAGACAGTTTTTTAGACATAGCCTTCAAGGGTATGTCTCGAGAGGACAACCAAACCTTTTGGCCAGGCTGGTACGTAGGAGCTGGCCGCCGTTT